AATTCGATAAGATGTTTGTGATAATTGCTTGTATATATTGATAATTTAAATATAATTATAATTCTTAAAGAGATTCTAAGTTTCATAAGTTATTTAAAATGAGAATTTGATATGAAAGACCTTGGAAAAACAAAATTTTGTCTCGGCTTGTAGTTCAAACACTTAGAAGATTGAATTTTTATTCATCATTCAACATATATAGAAAAAGTACTAAAATGATTCTATATGGATAAGTCTCATCGATTAGCTAGTCCAATGATAGTTCATTTACTTGATGTCTAAAAATATATTTTTCAACCTCGAGAAGATAACAAAGAACTTCTTGGTCCCGAAGTATTATACCTTAGTGTAATTTATGCATTAATGTATCTTGCTACTAATACTCAACTTGATATAACATTTTCTATAAATTTATTTATGAGATATATTTTTTGCTTCAACATGGAGACATTAGAATGAAATTAAACATATACTATGTTATCTCTAAGAAACAATTGATATGGGCTTATATTACTCTAATAAATCAAAGACATGATTAATTAGTTATGCGGATACATGTTATATATTTGATCCATACAAAGCTCGATCATAAACTAATTATGTATTTATATATAGAGATATAACTATACCATGACATTCTATGAAGCAAACTATAGTTGTCACATTTTTAAATCATGTAGAAATAATTCATGAGGCAAGTCAAGTTTGTATTTTGTTAAAATCAATGATCCATCATATTCGAGAGACATTCAGCTTATCCATTAGTAAGGAAGTTTTAATAATATTGTATGAAGATAATGCTGCATGTATAGCTCAATTAAAAGAATGATACATCAAAGGTGATAGAATGAAACATATATCACCAAAATTATTTTTAACACATGATCTTTAATGAAATAGTGATATTAATGTTTAACAAATTCGATCAAGTGATAATCCAATAAATTTATTCACTAAGACATTACGTACCATAACTTTTAAGAAGATGATTCACAAGATTGGAATGCATCGTCATAGAGATCTTAAATAATTTTTTCAACAAGGGGAGGCCAATCCAACGGATTTATTCACTAAGGCATTACCTATTAGGATTTTTTTTTCATTGGGTTTTTTCATTGTAAGGGTTTAACGAGGTATGTTCCTTTTACAATGGACATTCAAGGAGAAGTGTTATAAAACAATGAATGTCCATATCAATGTTCATATGCTTTTCATGTCCTTACTACTTATAATTCTTTTAATGTGATTCAATTCATCATTCAATATGAGAAATTGAAAGAATTATGCAATTACTTCATCAATTTATGTACTTTTAATTATTCATAGTCCCTTCCAATTCTCTTCTCAATTTGAAGCCTATAAATAGGTTTAATTGTTTCTTAGTTTGTGTATAAGTATTTTGTAGAAATTGAGAGAATCATTTGGAGTTGTTATCACTTGTATTCACTTTATTCAATAATGAATTCATTTTCGTATCTTTTTTCTTCAATTATACTATTATTTCTATTTTGTTTTTGTAACAACTAATAATTTTTAAGTTAATAGTTACAAAAGTTCATTTACTCTTTCTTTTATCTTTATCATGTCTTTTTTTTTTTTAAGCTCATCTCTTTACTTTTAGTTTTTGTTTTAATATTGTCTCTATGTTAACATTTAGACTAATGGTATTAACTTTGGTTTCTTCTATCCTAATCTCACATCTCTACTTGATTTTTTTGTCTTAATTTTGTTTATTGTTAAGGAATTTAAATAAAAAATTAAAAAAAAAAATAGAAAAGAGATAAAGATATATGTTTGGTCATTCTCTCTAAAAATTGAAAAAATAAACACAATAACTTTTTATCCAAAATATAATTTTTGTGTTCAAATTTATCTCTATGATATTAAGCAAAATTTGAGTATAAAATGTAATATTTATAGTAATTTTTTTAAATGTGAATAGATTTGTAGTTAAATTTGTAAAATTTTGAATGGTACTTATAATTTTATAATATCTCAAAAGAGTCTACTATAATTTACTTACCTTAATTTTACAAATTTCTTAATTTGATTGAAAAGTGAAAACATAAATGTTGTTATAAATTTTAGTGGAATTAAGAAATTCGTTAGTGTTTGGGTCCAACACTAACAAAAAAATATACTTCCACTCTTGAGTAAAATTAAAAAATTTATAAAATGAAAATAAATAAATTATAATAAACTCATTGAGATATTACAAAATTAAAAATAGCCTTCAAAATTTTACAAATTTAACTAAAATTCTCTTTATATTTAAAAAGAATATTATAATTTTTTTAATTTTATACTCAAAATTTGCTTACTATCGTAGAAATAAATTTAAGTCTATAAATGGTACTTCGGATAAAAAAAGTATTTTTATTTTTACTTTTTATTTTCAATTTTGAGAGAGAATGATCGGATATATCTTAATATTTTTTTTCAAGTTTTTTTTTTGTCTAAAATTTCTTTATTTAAATTTGATTAAAAAACAAAATTAAGACAGAAAAAAAATAGAGTTGATGAATGAGATTAAAGAAAAAAAATAACATTATTATTCTAAAAGTTAACGAAGAGATGAAATTAAGGCAAAAGCTAAATATGGAGTGATGAACTTAAGATGAAAAAAAAAAAAAAATGAAAGGACATGATAAAAACAAATGAACGAATATAAAGAATTTTGTAAGTATCAATCCAATAATTTTTCTTTGTTGGAGAGTTTGGAGAGTTTACTGGAAAGTATTCATTAACTATATTCACCTTTGATTAACAATTGAAACATTCAAATTATTTTCATTGCTAATCACAATGGAGTTAAATCCTTTAAAAAAACAATGATGAAGTTATTTTTTCTTTATTTTTTTACGTATTTCGGTAAAAATTATTTTCATTGTCAAAAAAATTAATCAAAATAACCAATCGACTCGGCGATTCAATTTTTTTAAAAACAAATAAAATATAATTAAAAATTTAAAAATAAATAAAAACTAAGATTATTATATAAAAAATAAATTAAATTATTTATCCTTTATTTTTAGAAGGACTATCTTGAATTTTGAGGGAAAAAAAGAAAGAGAGAGAGATGTAATTGAAGAGGATTGATGTCGTTCCGTCATAAAAAATAAATTAAATTATTTATCCTTTATTTTTAGAAGGACTATCTTGAATTTTGAGGGAAAGAAAGAAAGAAAGAAAGAAAGAGAGAGAGATGTAATTGAAGAGGATTGATGTCGTTTCGTCATCATGGCCTATTTCAGTCACAATAGCCACAATGGTTCCACCTTGTTAGATATTTTTTCAGATTTTGTCTGTTGTGATTGACCCTTGACATATATTTTTTGGTAGACTATATATGGGTTTAAACTTTAGGCTATGGTTGGTTCCTGTACTCCTTTAAAATTATAAATAAATCCCTAATGTTTACTTTTATTAAACATAGGTTTACAACATTAAAATTTGTGATTAAAAATTTAAAATGGCTGTCACATGTTCATTTAGCCACTGTTAGATGGCCGTATGGGTGACAAAGACCCGGTAAAAGTTATGTGTATTTAGACAAAAGAAGCAGCTGGGTAAGAGAATTAAACATTCAGAGACCTAATTAGTAAAAATAAAAAGCACAGGGAATGAATTGAAAACTGAAAGATTAGTTGAGACCAACAGAACACTTGCTGCTGATAAAATAAACGATAATTTTTCGTTTTGGCTGCTCAAGGTTTGATTATTACGGCTTTAAAGTGATATATTAAGGGACGTCACAAATATAAATAGTCATAGTATAACAATTGTTTATCCAATATATATTTTTTTAATGAAATAGGTTTAAGTTTTAATAAGTTTAATTATTATATGATATAGTGAAACAATTTTTTATTATGCAGTCCAAGACTCAATAAACCTCTGAACGAGGGGGAAAAAAAACTACTCACTTGCCCTAATGGGATGAACAATCCCTTGGACCTCAACTTGTCCAAACTCTTTTTTCTTTTTTCAATTTTTGTGGATTCATTTTTCTTTTCAAGTTTTGAAAATCCACTAGCACCGGTTAAAACACTATAAGCATAAATACAGTTTTTGACTTTTCAACTACTCACTTGCTCTTTCCATATTCAATCCATGCAAGTTGCAACCCAGTGCCTGTGTAGGGTCTTTTTCGGCATTTGAAACTTTAATTCCCTAAAAAAAAAATGATCTTGGCAAAACAATTAAAATTAACTTTATTAATTTACAATCAAGTGATACTGGAGAGTGTAGTCCAATTTTTCAAATCCGATTTTTTTAACTAGGCTGAAAGTTTCAAGATCAATATGATCTGAATATTTTTATTTTATTTATTTATTTTATTTTTGATTTTACCCTTATCATCGAATGATTCTTAATTTTTGTTTTTTTTATAGATTCATTTTTGTTGAGGAGTCCATATTTAATTTAGAGTGCATATTTAATTTGGATTACGTTAATTTTTATTTATTGAGTTTCGATTGGATTTAAGTCTAAATAGATTTAGGTTATTATTTTTTCTAATTGTCGACTTTTATGCATAAGTATTTAAGCGTCCTCATGTAGCATGGGAAAAAAAACCTTTTTTGATGAATTTTGAATAAACCTTATGAGAATTTTTTTTTCAATATTGTGCATATTTGTGCTTGGATTAGAGATGGATTTTTGTATTTTTGAATTGATCAATCAAGATAATGTTATCGATCAATATTTGTTAAGGTTGTAGCGAGATTCTAAATCTCATCAAAATCAACTAAGGTTTGATTATTCGTGCTTATTTTGGTCAATCCATACTTTAAGATTAGATAGTTTAGGTTATTTGGAATTTGTGGTTTGGATTGGTTGTTGATTATTGGTTTGGGTTATTGTTGAATTGTTGATTGTTTGTTTCGATTTATTGATATTTGTGGATTGTTGGTTTCAAATTTATTGATTTTTAGGCTTGTTGGTTTTGATTTCTATTGATCTTTATAAATTGATATTAATTTGGTATGAAAACCAAGATTTCCCTTCCACAAGTGTTTCTAAAAACGTTTTGGCGATATGCCTCCAAGAAGAGAACAAAGAATGACTATGGTCTTTACGAGAGAGTTGGAGCTTACATGGTAAAGACTTACGAGTATGAGATGAGAGCATGGCTAAAACTAATGAGTTTGAGGCTAATGAGGAATTCGGAGAAGACAACCCTTTTGAACATTTACAAATCAAATTATTTAAGGAATAAGGGTTTGTGCATCCACAAGCATGGATACAAAGGAGACATCATCAAGACTTTGATTTATGTTGTGACCGGACATTTAGGAAACTTTTAAAAAACTAAAAATTGATTTACTTATTTTTTATTTCATTAGGGATGTGAGTTAACTAATGTTTTGGAGTCACCGACTAGTATTAAAGAAACTACAAAACCTAAAAAGGATACCGGTTCGGAGATTCTAGTGTAAGCACTCGTTATGACTTTGAAAAGATATCAATAATCTAAAATCACCATTTTTAGAAAAAAGTACCATGTCTAGTCTAATCCTAACTCGTTTATCTCTTAAAAAAGTTATTTTTGCCAAAATATTTTCAAGTGAATTTCCAACTTTATTACCTATGTCAAATTTTTTTTTGTTTGTGGCATCATATTAAATTTATCATCGAACTCCATTCCCGTGAGTCTCGTCAATATAACATTGGATCTAGTTTAAATCTTGACATAATCGGTATATCGGAGAACGACCTAATTAGTAAGGTAATAGATTTAAATTAACAAAAGTTCCTATTGGATAAGAGACTCGTTAAATTTATTGAAAACTCTTTCGTTCTTTCTTTTTTTGTTCTTTTCCTTGATTGAACTAAATGTTTTTTTATTTTGATTTTGAACTTATCCTAGCTAATTCTCTTTATTTGTTTATTTATTTTTATTATGGATCAAGGCTAACATCGGTCCCTATTATAGGAGACTTGTTAGGTCGGTTTTAATTTTTCTAATTATTCTAATAAGAAAAAAGCGCTCATATTATTATTTTTTGGCATTTTTATTATCGGATAAAATATATGGAAATCATTTTTTTAAATAAATATGATACTCGTTGATCCGACATCTCAACCAAATCAAATCCATGCATTAAAATAAATTTCACAAAAGAATTTCTATGTTTCCAAACACAAATAAAATTAAAGATTATTACAAAATAAAATCACAAAATACTTAAAAGGGTACAAAAAACAAACCTAGTGGTCCTTAAAAGAGACCAAAATGTCCTTTATGAAGCTACTAAAAATGACCAAACTACTCTTTACATGAAAAATAACCCAAATAACCTTTTGCGTACACTACATGTATTGCCATTATCAAGCTATCGTTGGTGGTCGCTTTGGCCACCTTCGAGGCTTATGGATTGGTTAATAAATTGGAGGAGATCTTGCTCTACCTATCTACGGTAGTGGCGGTCGTCATCGTTGACAAAGGAAGGAGATCGACTCCAATGAAGTTTCAGCTTTCTCTCCCTCTTTTTTCAATGTAGATCCCGATGAGGGTAGTGGGTTTTGAGGCTCAAAATCCAGCGAGAGATGTTCTTAAGACCTTTTGGAACATTTCTTTTGCTTTTAAACGAGGTGATGTGGTTGAAAAATGATGATAGAGTCGGGTTGAGGTAAATGGGTCCGGGGCCGGCTAAATCTTCTCTTTCTTGATTCAATCATTTTTGACAAGTTTTCATCATGATTTCAAAGGGGAACAACTTTAAGGAGGGTGAAGGACATTTCTTCGGTGGTGGTAGTTGTTGGTTTGATAAAAAAACAATGTTCTTTTTAGGTTCAAAGCCAAGTCGGGTCATTGTCTTTCTCCGATTTTTGATCTCCTCCAACATCTTCCCTCTCTCTAACTAGTTGTGAATGGTTGATCCGAGACTATGCTACTAATTGGTGGTAGCTCCTAGTGGCGAGAGTTGACTAGAGGGCGACGAATTTAGGAGAAATCTTTAATGGGTCTACGAGTTTGATCTGCGGGTGGTTAGGTATTTTATGGGCTCGTTTGGCTGAAAAATGAAAAGGATGATGAATAATGTCAAACTCCTACTTTTTTAGGAAGATATGAATAGTTATAGTTCTCTATATTTTTTTAAGCTAAGTTCTTTTTTTTTTAGGATGAGTGATGCGAGCTAAGGTTTCGTTAGGAAGATGGATGATGGAGGCTAGGTTTTTTGGGTAGGTAGAATGAATTATGGAGCTCTCAACAAATGAACTGAAAGTGTATTTATATAGGGATTTTTTAAAGATTTTGGGATAAAATCAACCTTCGTCCTTCCTTGATTTATTTTTATCAATTCCAATGCATATTCCATTATTTTTCTCTAATTAGCTCATTCATTGAAATTATTTAATCCCTATTCTCTTATTTTTGTTTTTAATTTCACATTGATAAATTTTCAATCAAGTTTCTTGATTTTTTTATCCTTTTTCAATTACATCCTTAATTAAATGTCACATGGTCCTTGTTTTTCACATCATTTTTCAATTGAATACCAAATAATCTTTATTGTTATTATTTTTATATTTAATTAAAAAAGAGAAATGATTCTACAAAATTGAAAACCTAAAAATGTATAAAAATGCCTAAAAATCATGAAAAAGACAAACTATGCAACATTATAATTTTTTTTATTTTGATTTTTTTTTTAATTTTATATGAAAATAAATGGGGGTTAAAAATAGTTTATGACTCGTTGGCCCTTCTTCAAAATGCTTATGACGCGAAGTCAAATGAAAAAATATTTTTTTAATAATTTTGCATAATAAGTTTGTAAAGAATTTTTTTTTTTAATTACAAGATATGTCTTGTTGTTTTAAGTGACTTACCTTGAAAGTAAAAAATGCAATTGTCTTGTTCTCAAGGGAATCCTATCCTAAAAAATAAAATGTAATGGTCTTGTCGTCAAGGATAGTATGTCCCGAAAAGTAAAATATGATTGTCTTGTCATTAAAGACGGTCTATCCTAAAAGTAAAATGGAATGGTCTTATTGTCAAGAATGACTCGTCCTAAAATGTAAAATTCGATGACCTTATTGTCAAGGATGGCCCGTTCTAAAAAGTAAAATGCGATAGCCTTATTGTCAATGGTAGCCTATCCTATAAAGTAAAATATGATGGCCTTTTTTTTAGGCCGACCTATCATAAAAAGTAAAATACGTTGGCCTTGTTGCCAAGGGCGGTCCGCCCTAAAAAAATCAAATGTAGTAGCCTTGCTATCAAGGGAAACCTATCCTAAAAAGTAAAATACAATGGTCTATTATTAGGCAACCGAGCTCGAAATGATGATCTATTATTAGGTAATTGAGAAATGAAGAATTATTGCTAGACAACCTTGTCTAAAATAATAAACTAAGTTAGGCAACCCTACCTAAAATGGAGAATTATTGCTAGGTAACCTTGCCTAAAATGACAAACTATGTTAGACAACCCCGCCTAAAATGAAAAATAATCACTAGGTAGCCTTACTTAAAACAACAAACTAAGTTAGGTAGTCTTACTTAAAATAGAGAATTGTTGCTAGGTGAGATTATCTAAACCGACGAACCGAGTTAGACGGTTCCGCTTGAAATGAAAAGTGATCATTAGACAACCTTACCTTAAATGATGGACTAAGTTAGGTAGTCTTGTCTAAAATGAAAAGTGATTGCTAAGCAACCTTGCCTAAATTGACAAACTAAGTTAGGCAGTTTTGCTCGAAATGAAAAGTGATTTTAGGCAACTTTGTCTAAAACGATGAACTCGGCTAGGCAACCCTACTTGAAATATAGAATTATCGTTAGACAATCTTACCTAAAATGAAGAACTAAGTTAGGTAGCCTTGTCCGAAATGGAGAATTATCATTAGGGAATCTTATCTAAAAAGATGACTATGTTAGGCAACCTTGCCTAAAATGACAAGTGATTGTTAGATAACCTTACTTAAAAAGACGAACTAATTAAGATAGCTTTGCTTGAAATAGAAAATTTTTGCTAGGCGAGCTTAATTAAAACAATGAACTAAGTTAAGGAGTCTTGCTCGAAATAGAGAATTATTAGAAGGCAACCGAGCCTAAATTGACAAAATAAGGTAGCCCTACCTAAAATAAGAATTATCATTAGGAAATCTTACATAAAATGATCAACTAAATTAAGTAAATTTGCTTGGAAATGGTGATTTATTACAAGGTAACCTTGTCTAAAATAATGAATTAAGTTAAGCAATCTTGTCCGAAATAAAAAAAGATCGCTAGACAATCGTGCCTAAAATGACGAACTAAGTTAGACGGCGTTGTCTAAAATTAAAAAAAATCGCTAGACAATCTTACCTAAAATGATGAACTAAGTTAGATAGCCCTACCTGAAATAAGAATTATCACTAGGTAACCTTACCTAAAATGGTGAACTAAGTTAGGTAGCCCTACTTAAAATAAAAATTATCGCTATACAATCTTGTCTAAAATGATGAACTAAGTTAGGTGACCCCACTTGAATACTAGAATTATTGCTAGGCAACCTTGGTTAAAATGAAAAACTAAGTTAGGCAGCTCTATCTAAAATATGAATTATCGCTAGGTAACCTTGCCTAAAATGATGAACTAAATTAGACAACCCTACCTAAAAATGATGATTCAAAAAGCATGAATTCCAATATGATCCTATGACTTTAGAGTTTCTTAGCTTGAATGACTACATCATTTGTACATTTGTGATGATATTCCTAATATATAATAATAAGGCTATTTGTAATGGTTAGTATTTTACCTCTCGTAAATATAAGTTGCCACACCTTGTTAGTACTCAACTAGGGGTGAGCACTATTAAGTTAAAATAAAAAAACCAAACCGATTTGAATTGAATTAACAATTTTGGTTCGGTTTATTTTTTAAAATATTCAATTTCCATCGAAAATCTAATTAGTTTTTTTTTTTTTGACACACATTCAAGGCTCTTAGCAGAACAAGTTTGCTTAGATTTGAACTTGTGACCTCTTGGAAGAAATTACTACCACTAGATTACAAACTCTCTCATATCGAATTAGTTAGGAGTGAGTGCTATTCAAGCTATTATATTTGAATTTTTGATAGACAAGAGACCACCTAGACTCTAGCCGTGGCACTTTCCTATGATTTCCTTTGCTAAAACTTCAATTCAAGCTATTGAAATTCCTTAAAAATAAAAAAATAGCAAAAAGCTGGTCGTTCAGACTTGGTCTAAGAGAAAATTTGAAATTTTGAAGAAAACATGCCAAAAAAATGGTTTTTAACCAAAAATCGAAAAACCAAACCAAAA